GCGGCGTGATCTGAGTCGCTAGGCACAGAAGCTGCTTGGCCTTTCCTTTGTTTGTTTCGTCCCTTTTCTTTTCTTTTTTTCTTTTTTTTTGTTATTTTTTATTTTTTTCCCCGGCCCTTCCCTTTATCCCTTTGTGTGTGGAAGGGACGGAGATGGGACGGACTTTTGGGGTGTCGAATTTTGTGGAGGCAGCAGAGACCGCACACTGCCACTCGGGCGTAGGAACGGCCCCGAGAAAAGGGGGTCTCCCAAGATCCAAGGTGCAGAGGCATCTTATTGAGAGCGGAAAGGGATGAGGTCCCGAGGGGGACATCGGCATTGGGGTCTGTCCAGTCAGCTTGCTGGAAAGGGACATGTGCAGGTCCCTCGGCGGATGGCTCAGTGAGCACCCTCCGGATGTGCCAAACAGTTGGTGGTTGGTGGTTCGGAGTCCCGTTTGCACACTTATAGGGGCCTGCATGCTTAGCAGCCCCCTTGCAGTCGATGAAGGCGACGTTCCGGGCGTGGGTTTTGGGACTTTGTACTTGTGTTACGAGGGACTCTATGCACACGCTTTGGGTGGTTTCCAGTTTGCGAGAGACGGGTGAGTCGTTCTTTGGTGGTCGAGCGAACATTTTTGCGGCGCCGTGCGGGTCCATGGTCGTCTTTCTCGGAGGGCTTATTTCATGACAGCTCGGTCGTCGCTGGCGACGATCGCGGCTGTCGGGGCTTTCCTATGCCGTGATGCCGGGTTGTGGATCGTTGCGTTCACCCTCGCTCATCGTCTTGCGATGATTGGCGCCTGATCGCCGACGGTGGTCCTGTTGGCTGTCGTTTGTAGGGTAGGGTGTGGAGGCGGAGGTGTCCGTCACCGACTCTCAGCTTCGGCACCCTCATCCCGTAGGTTTCGGGGAGAGCCGTTGCAGCTTTGTTGTGGTGTTCTCTTCGTGTCCGTACTCACAACGGCTCGTTCCGTTTGTGTTGAGGGGGTGTCACGACTTGGTGAGGAGGCTCTGCGCTCTTCGCCATCCGAGCGGCGCCATCGAGCGGTGGCACAGGTGGCCTCGGCCCTGCACCCGCTGCTTACCGTGTGCGAGGGCGGAGACTTGTGGGATGCATGATGCACCCTCCGACGGCGTCGCGCGGTTGGGCCCGTCGTCCGCCCGACTTGTTGGAATGCGAGCTTGTGCCCGTCGTGTCCCCCATGCTGTGGTCTCGGTATGCTGCACACCGTGACGGATCGCATTGCGTTGTGGTTCAGCTGCGTTTAGGTTGTGGGCTGTGAAGGCTGCTGTCCTCTGTCGCCTGGTTTTCGCCTGCGTCGAGTTCTGTTGGTGGTGCCCGCGGCAACAGGCGCATGTGGATCCAGGGGGGGAGGGGTGTGTTCCTTTTGCGCCCCCGTGCACAGGTGGAGGCTTTCCGTCCGTCCGAGCGTGTTGGATGCGTGGTGCATTCGTTTCTCTCTTCACTAGTGTTTCTCGATGGAGAGATGAGGCGGTGCACTTCGCTGTCGGTACATTTTGGGCGGGCGGTGGCATCCGGCTGTGGGCGGAAGCGGTCGGTGGTTCCTTTGCGCGCGCCGTTGTTTCGGAGAGTGTGGTTATCCTGCGATCTCTGGGTGTGGTGTGGGCGTGTGGTGTTCGCAGCCAATCTTGTGAGCGGGTGCGGCGGGCTGTGTTGGATTGTGCGGTGCCTTGCCGTTGGAGATGGCCTACGGAGGGGAAGGTCACCTGCAATTCAAACAGCCGGACTTTGCCGCGTCTCGGCAGCTCATGGCACGTTCCACGATTGTTTGACGTTCTTTTGGTAGGCTGGGCGTCGCGATGTGCCTACGTGCACGTCGGCCATCGCTCCTTGCGGCTGCTCGTCACACCCGCTACCTGGTTGATCCTGCCAGTAGTAATATGCTTGTCTCAAAGACTAAGCCATGCACGTCTGAGTGTGAACACTTTGCACTGACACTGCGAGACTCGGGGATTAGGTAGGGATAGGGGTCGAAGATTTGGGGGATGGAGAGATTGTTTTTCTAAGGGGGGAGCGAAGGGAGCAAGGCTCGCTTTAGCGATGCCCTGACCTCTGGGGGAGAAGGCCACGACTGGGTGCCTGTCTCTTATACACATCTAGATGTGTATAAGAGACAGGTGTACCTCTGGGGGAGAAGGCCACGACTGGGTGCTAACTGCCTCCCGGTCGCTTTCCCCCTGAGAGTAATGGGCACCGATTTCAGTAATTTTTTCTCCCTGTCACAAGCAATCCGTGGCGCTGGCCCGGGCTGAGACCCCCGGAAACCCCTTTTTTTTCTGTCTTTGCTCTCTGTTTTCCATCCACTTCTTTGCTGTGTATGCTTGCCGGTGATAAGCAACCGGACTGTCGCTCCCCAGAATAGATGGGGCTTTTGTGTGTGTTTAAAAAAAAAAAAAAAAAAAAAAAACTAAAAATTTTTTTTTTTTTTTTTTTTTTTTTTTTTTTTTTTTTTGGCAAACAACCACAGTCATTACTAGGGATGCTGATACGAGCAGACATCGCTAGCAAGACCGAGGAGGCTCCATCTATTGGTGGGGATCAGCACCTGCTGGAAATCGGGTCCAGCGTCCCTGTACAGTGCAGTTGTTTGTAAGAGTATCATTGTCTTTGAATTGCCTGCGAGATTGTCGCTCGCCTGTAGGAGAAGAAGATGGGCAGAAAGTAGTAACGGTGGTGTGTTTTCATCAAGATTCTTGATTTAGGAAGTCTGTGTGAATGAAGATATGGGGCTTTGTTAGAAACAATTGATGATGTAATAGGATTGGTATAGATCAGGCAGATGTCACGCAATGGATGCAGGGTCTGAAGGAGCGTGGTGAACTGATCTGGGTCTGGGCTAGTTGACTGTGCTTGGCTTGACACCCGCATGAGTAGGGGACATCTGAGTCTGCTTATCGCAGGGTCTGGGTGCCGTCTGGAAGTTTCCCGCCTGCAATGAGCTCTCCCAGAGCCCCCCTCAGTGATGCGAATGCCCAGCAAGCACAGCCCCCTGCCATCAGCTGTCTCAGGCTGGGCAGGATAAGCCTGCAAACCTATTTCTTTACAGCTTTTTTTTAGCTCCTCTTGTTCGATTCATTTCGATCTTCGTAAACATTTGCTTGCCAGTGATAAGCAACCGGACTGGTGCCCCCCAGAATAGAATGGGGCTGTGTGTGTTTTGTGTGAAAAAAAGAAAAAAAAAAGAAACTGCGGGCTGGCCCTGCGATATGCTAGCCTTGGGGGGGTTGCCTCGGAACTGTTCCCTTCCATAGATATAGGCTAGCGGTAGATCGGGATAGGGCCGGCCTTTCGGGAAGGGCTGCCTCAGCCAGGTCTCTTCCATAGCAGGGGATGGGCGCCGTGGGGCTATAGATGCGACTATGGTGCGTCATGCCTCCAGGCATAGATGTCTCTAGGGCAACAGTCGTCTGAGTTCGGGGTTGTCCTGATGAACATCATGCGGCCACGGAGCGCTGGTCGTGGTCGAAACCTTCCCATCTTCCAGGGTACGTGAGGGTCTGTGCTGTCTTCTGAGTGTCTCGTCTGGTTCATGTGCGTGTGTGTGTTAGGGGGTGTGGGGGAGGGGTGGGGCATACAATACCATTGTGGGAAGGGCCGTCGGGGTGGGTCTCGCTTGGCGAGTGTAGTACCCACTCCGAGAGCGTAGGAAGGCTCGGCGCACCAGCCTGCCTGGCAGGACTGTCCCCAATGGCCGTGCAACAAGGTCCCCCCAAAGACCGTCTCCAACCTGCACAACCTTTTCAAAAGTAAAAAAAAAAAAAAAAAAACGAATTGTAGCCAGCCATAACCTGTCTAATCAGTTGAGACAGAGCATATCTTAGGGCTCCCCTTGGGAAGTTTGGTCTGACAGGACTGTCACAGTACTTTGGGGGGACAGTAAGATCTTTTTTTTTTTTTAAAGAAAAAGTCCAAGGGTGTTGTAGAGGCCAGTCACTGAGTGCACAGCTGTCTCTTATACACATCTAGATGTGTATAAGAGACAGAGGAGAGAGAGATCGACTCTTTTGTCGATCCAGAGCTCTCCCTGGTGCATGCCGGGCTGTAGAGCATTTCTGAACTAGATCGTTAGTGTACAGTTCGTGTATCTGGTTGAGCTTACGTGAGGCGAGCGAGGCTGCAGAAGGGCACTCGGGTTGGGATACCTCTGGTAAGCGCCAGCGCAGCATCAACGTGGTAGGGTTTGTACAGCACTTGCGTGCGAAGTAACTCTCACAAAGATGGCAGGTCACGGAGAACAGGTAGATAAAGCATTAGTATGGGATAGGGGTTCATTGATGCAGGCCCTACGTAGGTCCTACCTTCGGCACCTGCCCCTTGACGACCCGGGCGTAGTTCAGTATTTGACGGTCAACGAATACCTACGGGCACATTCGGTTGTGTGTAAGTTCCCGCCGGAAGCTCGGCAGTGGACCCTGGAGGCCAAGAGGCAGTGGATTGGCCACAAAGAGGAGGTGTGGACTTTGGGTAGAGGACCCTGGAAGGGGGACATAGATGTTGAAGGGGAATCTGTAGTGACATATCTGGCGCCGACCGTGGATATTCGGGATTGGCTCGTGAATGAACGGCAGAGTGAGTCCATCGAGGTGGAAGGCCACAGACTAGAGGTTACACTCACAGCATGGAAGTCACCGGCTGAGATGGAGATCCTGCGCCTTCAAGATAGTCGAAGAAGATCGTGGGTTGAAGTCTTCAAAGCCTCTCATATAGCCGAGAAATGGGTTAGGGGTGCAGTGGAGCATTTTTTGGACGAATCTTAGAGGTGCAAGCGCACATGGACAAGGATCGCGCGTACACTCGATACGTGATTGATGGCCCGCTGGCCTCGCCGCATGTGGATACCCTGGCTGTTGCCACGGGCATATACTCCTGTCAGGAGGTGAGGGTTGTGACCAGTGAAACTCCGTTCTGTGAGCTTTGTCGTATCCACGGACACCTTAACACCCACGGCCGGTGTCTCACGAAGCAAGAATCGATTTAAGAATTGCAGGACCGAGCCGCGAGGCGAGCCATGGAACCGGAAGAGGAGCGGGTGGCTTGGAGAGAAACGGAGATGCAGGTGGATCTGCAGATCTGGGAGGAATGCAAAGCGGCCATGCAACAAGCGAACGAGGAAAAAGTTCCCACGGTGAGGGTTCCTAAGCGGAGAAAGCACGGCGTAGCTTTGTGTCGGCATCAGTTATGGGAGGACGGTGCAAAGGGTGGGATCGACCCTATGCAAGTTGATCAGGGCGATTGGATGTTCGTTAAAACCCCCATAGAGGAGTCACGAGGCAAAAGGGCCATGGGGGGCCAGGAAGAGCAAAGGAAGGCGGAGTATACCGCAGCCCAGTCTGTAGCCCTGAAGACAGCTGATCAAGGGGAAAGGATGGACCAGGGGGAGCAACCAGCCGCGCCAGCGGAGGTTCGGGGTTTGGAGGACCAAGGAGTTGCGCACGACCATAGGGCTGAGCAAGAGGACTCACAGTTCTCCATGATGTACGGCATACCCAGGGAGGGGTTAGGAAGGGGGGGTCAAGCCCGGGGGGCAGATGAGGAGGTTTTGGACGACCTCGACGTGGCCAAGAATGCAGACTTTACAACTCCCGGTGGGGGAACAATTGGACGGACAGAGAAGAGCCCTCCCCCTACGCCTTGTTACCAGGTCAAGCAAGAGCCGGCGGACACTATGGGTATGCTCGGGGAAGGGGTGGGATTGGAAGTTAATATCTCGGGGAGAGCAGAAGAAGTTGGCGACAACGGAGGAGAAGGGAACAACCCGCCGGCACCCGGAGGGCAGAACGGCAGCCCTCAGCCTTGCACACTTGAGGAGCATCTGGGCGCCGACGATCAGGAGGGTGAGGAGGAGTCAGCTGGTGTAGCAAAGGTCAATTGGTGGTTAAGAGAGAGCCCCTTAGTCCTTGAGCCAAGCCAAACTATCAAACAGGAGCCGATTGAGGAATGCGTCGGGAGTTTTGATCTGGCGCCCTTTCGGGGTGAAGAGGCACTTTTATTTCCATTCATGTTGTCAAGGGACGCTGGACCCGGTTTCCAGCAGGTGAAGCTCCCCACCAATAGATGGAGCCGTTGTTTTAAAAAAAAAAAAAAAAAAAAAAAAAAGAGGAGTGCGTCGGGAATAGCCAGGCACGTACCGCGGAAGCCGTCGAAGCGGGGGAGGGCTCCGGGATGCCGACCCAAGTTGGCGAATCATGTAATCAGGCTCCTCTTGAGTCCGGGTACGATACACCTATTATTGTCGGGAGCGAGGCCAACACGAGCATGTATACCAGTTCTGACCTACTCGTCGAACTCAAAATGAATCCACTAAGAAGAAGCAGGTATATCAGCAGGAGCCGGTGTGGGACCCCCCCCCGCCCGCAACATGCATCAAGGACTGCAACATGGCACCAGACCAACCACGACAGGAGGTCAGTCGGGAACCGCAGATTGAGAAGTTGCCCAGCCTGAAGGGCTCAACAGTCGGGCGCGAGCACCCAGCCATGGAGGGAAGGATGCGGCGGGTGATGCAGACTCCCAGATAGCAAAGCTAGTGAACAAAGGTCGACAGTAGGATGATCTGCCTGGCATTGGGATGACTGAGGTCATACAGCAATTGCAGTCACTAAGGAGTGGGGAAAACGCGGGGAAGGCGCAGGCCCAGGATGGGGAAGGGGCACAGGGTAGGGCAGAGATGGACAGGGCAGGGCTCAACCCCGAGGAAGCTATGGACGCACCTCTGAGCGCCTTGGCAGTGAATGCCAGGAGGGAGACCGTAACCTTCAATCTATCGGATATTTTGAAGGCAGGCGAAGTCTATGCATGCCCCCTGGTGTTGTGGTGGTCGCCAGATGGGGTGAAACTGCTGATGAGAGGCAAGACAGAGGTGCCGGTGGTCAAGGCGTTCACCCTTCCACAAGTCCCCGAGGTCATGGATCAAGTTCGGAAATGGCTGGGAACTGGTTATGAAGTAGTTGAATTGCCACATATCTCTGCATCACGTCTTATTCGGCGCACAGATAGCGCTTCCGATTACGCTATCATGACCTTCTTCCTGGCTGCGACCCCCATAAAATCGGGTCGGCCTCGTATGCGACTAAGAGGCGCACGATGGGTGGACTTTGCGGAAATACAGGGGCCTGCAGCACACCCTGGGGACTTCCATGTCATCCATGAGGCTTCACTGGGTATTTTGGAAAGCATCGAAGGTAAGCTCCCGCAGGAGGAGCGGTTTGATTCCCCACACTTCAAGGAGGGAAAGGGACTATGGGACAGGGAGGGTTAGGTAGCGGGTATTTTTTTCCGGGACGTTGCTGGTTCAGCAACACCCCCCCCCCAGCAGCAAAAAAAGATTACGAGTATGATTTTCCCGAGTACTGGGTGCCTTAGGGTATGGTAGGTAATCGAGGTAGGAGTAGGCTGAAGGTTCTGACATGGAACGCACGGGGATTGGGGGCCCGATCTCTTCTGCCAAAGAGGAGAGAACTGCGAAGAATGATGGTGCAAAACCAGGTCGACGTCGTCTGCATTCAGGAGACCAAGCTCAACGTGGCCAAGATCGGTACCCCCCCCATATGGTGGAAGGGGCATCAAGTATGGGCACCAGCGCAAGGTACACGTGGCGGGGTTGCGGTTTTGGCGTCCCCCCATTTTCAAGGGAAAGGTCGCCGACTGGTTTTTCGACCACTGGGTGTGGGTCCTGTTACAATGGGAAGAAGACATCTGGGGTATCCTGTCCGTTTACGGCCCTTCTAAAATAGGGGAGAGAAGGTGGATGTGGGAGCAGCTGGCAACCATCACGCCACAGATGGATAGAATCATCATTGCTGGGGACTTCAATACTATCATAGCCCCCGGTAATACCCTGCGCTCCCACGTATGGATGCGGTGGTACCATGCCAAGATGGAGCAGATTCTGCTGCCTGCGTGCAAGTATGGCCTCTTTAGGATGCAGTGACTCATACCGCACTCTGCACCCGGACGCCAGTGAGTATACCTTCTGTGGCACTGCCCTGCGACTACGCAGTTGGATTGACATGGTATGGGCCTCGGACCAACTAAATCAGCGATGTGAAGCGGTCTCTATCTTGACTACGACATCCTCAGACCATGCGGCGGTGCTTGCCTCATACGCAATCAGCAAAATGGAGATGGGACGGCCGCCCGCATCCGTTCCTGCATGGGTATTCTCCTGCCCGGACTACCGGCCAACCATACTACGGTTCTGGGAAGATTGGGCTGATCAATGCCCTCAAGAAGAATACCTCGCACGGGTTACCGAAGCGCTGGTTGCTCTGCGGCAACTGTTGATGGCCATGCTACAGTCACAACATCAAGCACACCAGCGGACAGGGCAGGAATATGTGGAAAGGTTGGCGGCCCTGGATAAAGGGCCCGGAGACATGGACGAGGATGAATGGTGGGTGGAGCGCATGGAAACAGTTCGGCACTGGAGGGATTGGCAGGCTGAAGACGCGACGAGATGGGGACGCAGGAACAAGGAGGCGTGGATCTTGGTGGGGGAGAAGATGGCCAGACGATTTTTTGCGGAACTTAAAAAACAGAAAGTGTCACCAATTATGACCTTCATGGTGCACCCGTCTGATGCAACCATAGGTCGGCAGGACACCACACGGGGCATTCTCAAGTGCGTAACTGACTTTTACAAGGATCTGCTCACCGAGGAAGAAACGTGGTCCCAGGAGGTCATGGCCACTCAGCCAGAGAACGAGGTGTGGCAATATGTCCAAACCAAGCTGGATCTTGATAGCAGCTGCCGCCTCGACCAAGATATCACCTACGAAGAGGTGGAGGCAGCAATCAAAGAGCTCCCACGGCTAAAAACGCCAGGCCTGGACTGGATCCCGATCGAACTCTTCAAGGAGCTCAAGGCCTTCTTTGCAACACTCCTAACACAGGCCTACAACGAAGCCCTGCAGCATGATTCTCTTCCATCAGGTTTTGCGGACGCGTACGTGGTTCTGATCTACAAAAAAGGGCCTAAAGAGGATGTTAAAAACTGGCGCCCGATCTCGATCCTGAACGCAACTTATAAGATGTTGGCTAAAGTTATGGCTGCAAGGCTGAATAGCGTGCTGCCAAGACTGATCCACCCTACACAGACAGGTTTTGTTCCGGGGCGGCAAATAACAACCAGCATCCTAATAGTGCAGCAGGTTCTCGAGGAGGACGCGGTCTCAGGACAGCTGCTGGCTTTTATCTCCATCGACCTCCAAAAAGCCTATGATAGAGTCAGATGGGAGTTTCTCCTGCAAGCAATGGCTAGGCGACGCTTTGGTGTAATCTTTAGGGGCTGGGTGAGGAGCATGCTCAAGCAAAGCCTCTACCGTAATGCAAGTCAATGGGGTAAGGTCAGAAAAATTGCGAGTGACTCGGTCGGTGAGGCAAGGGTGCCCCCTGTCCCGCGCTCTGTATGTGATCTACATCGAATCACTTCACGAACTTCTCACGGGAGACCACAGGCTGCACGGCCTGAAACTCCAGCACGGCGAGGAGCTTCAGTCCTTGGCTTTTGCAGACGACACAGGTGCCATTATTCCATCCACGGCCCAGCAGCTGCAAGTTCTTCAGGAAGACCTCGCAACTTTCTGCAGGTTTTCGGGGGCACGAGTTAATTGGGAAAAATCTCACGCAATCCTGCCACCAGGCATGGACGCACCAGAAGAGTGGGATCTGCTCGGGACAATTGACGGACGGACCCGGTTTTGGGAGCCAGCATTACGCCTGGCTGGGGGGGAGTTGAGCAGATGGCCACGCTGGCGGTGGCGGCGACGACTAAATTAAACGCATGGGCAAGGGAGGTGCACCTGGGAGTGTTTGACAAAGCATTGGTGGTCAAAAACTTCATTTCAGCCACCATGTGGTACGCTAGGGCTATCCATATGCCGGGAAGGCGGACCTTTGCGTATATGAGGCAGGCTATCCAAGCCTACCTCTGGTCAAATAATGCGGTTTCTCATAATTCAATCTGCAGAGTGGCCTGGAGCAAACTAATCCAACCAAGATCGGAAGGCGGATTGGGCCTGTTGGACCCACGATTACAGATGACAGCCATGCAGATTCGACACCTGGTATGGTATCTGCTGAGAGCGGCCGGAGAGCAATGCTACTCCCTTGCAACACAACATCTGGCGCACTGCCTTCACTTACTGCTTGAGCTGGTCGAAGTTCGCCTTGCAAGTAGCGTTCTGATTGGGCACGTCGTGCGCGATATGGTTTGGTCTGGGCCATTGGCTCTTTGGAAGAAGATCCGACTGCTTAATCGGGAGCCTGCAACCGCGGACGCCGTCTTCAACCAGCTGCTCTTCGACAACCGCTTCATCTGCAATATACAGGGGGATAGCTTCCCCTGGCAAGGGACGCCTGGAGCATTTGGCCGACAATGGGCGGAACAAGGCGTTTTTAAGATTGGCCACCTCTGGAATGAGCAAGCAGGGGAATGGAAGTCGGATGAGGAGATGGCTGACACCCTCCCGCACCAAGTACAAAGAAACTGCAGGCTGGCTGAACTCAGGGAAGTCATCATGGGCGCAGAAAGTAAGGGAATCTATTCAAAACAGAACGTTAGATATTCATCGCCCCGCAGTTGATTCTACTGAATCTCAGGACGAGAAATTAAAAGTACCTCTGAGAAATCTGTCATCGGCTCGTGCGTATTTTCTTTCGTTGTTCCTTCTTCCGTCGGAACAGCAGGTAATTGATCATGGGGGTCGGAAAACGTTAATGAAGTCTTATCCTAATGATAAATTAGCACAGCGTGATTCAATTTATACTAACCATGCTAGCAACTGGATTTTTTATGATGCTGCTGCTAACAGATCGGTCAATGATAAAATTAAATTCATTTGTAAAAAGTTGGAGTCATTGAGGGATGGTCCGGAAGGGGTTGCTGAGTTTTTCTTAATTCAGTCAGTCAATCCTACCGTTTTTACTATCCTCAGTCTGTTCGATAAGGATAAAGTCCGTATTGATTCTTGGAAGAAATTGGGTTGGGATAGGTATGAAGTTCGCATCTATCCCTGGTTTCCTAAAAAGTTGGGCTAGAGGAAAAAAGGGAGCAGATGATGAGGGACTTTTATTGGGTCGAATTCAGACATATTCCAATTGAAATACAGGCGGCTTTTATCCATGATTTTGGCCAACAATATAAGATCGTGGATTTTATTAATCCACTTCCCTCATATATAGCAAAGAGGGATGATTACTTAATGTTGGCACTGGATCTACCTAAGGAACAACTTTTCTCAATGGATGATATAATCCCTTTCAAAATGGGAGGGAGAGTACACCAGATTCACACGGCCCACAAATTTAGGCCGTGGTGCCTTCACACGGATTATGCGTGCTCTCTTCATCCCCAACATGAGGTTCCTATTGACAGACGTCTTCAACGGGACCCCAAAAGACCTAATAAATGGGTCCCTGCGGTCCCGGGGCACGAAGGGTGAGTGTACCATGCGGATATCAGTCAGGCTGGCCAACCGGTTGGGTGGATTTGGAAAGGGAGGAGTGACGTTCACAAGTCGCCCCGTCCACCACAGGATTGGCTCCCTCCCCTCTCCCCCCCTGTACAGAATGACAAGGCATTGGGCACTGATCCTAAAGGTATGAAGGTTCAAAGCTTTGGGTCCAAAAGGAAGCCCCCCCATGGTCACAATGACACTGGAGTCCACGAATTGGATAACTCTTCTGGGGGAATCTCGGGCTCGAATGGTAAGTCTCAGAATCCTAGGGATATGGCTTCCTCTTTTAGGAATGGTTCGGATCGGTCGCTGGGACCAAGAGCAGATGATTACATCCATAAAGAGGCCACTGAGTGGAGAGTAGTAAGGAAAAAAAACATTGCTCAGAAAGACATTCATGCGGAGGATGGATATAAAGAGAATCGAGACATAGTCATGCAGGATGGGAAGAAAGCTGTGTACGAAGATTCTGACTTAGATTCTACTCCGATGGAAATTGACCCACTCAGTATTGTCTTCGGAACAGAATTAATGGATATCGAAGTAATTCAGGCATGTGCTCCCCCACCTTTTTTCTTCCTCGACAACAGGTCTGATTCTGCTATTGTAGTTGATCTTAATACCAAGATTTTGTCAATAGCTGACTAGTTGTTGTGTAACCTCAAATCACAGTAGCACCCAAGGCTGGAAATATCCCACTGGCCATGTGTATTGGAACATCTGGTCGCAATGCTGGAAGGAAGTAAAAGCTTGGTCACTTTTTTGGAACAGAATCAGCCGCCGAAAATTTCATGGGAAAATATCTGTTCTAATTTACTTGCAATGGTCTCGGCCAGATTTATAGATCCTGCGCATATTTCCCATTCTCGTATTACCTCACTGGACGACAGAGATAACCATACTCACCTGGAAGTCTCGAATATGTTTCACGGATCTGCTGTCCCAGTGGGTGAAGACAAGGATGAGACAGCAGATCAAAATGAGTTATCCCTATTTCCCATAGGGGCGACTCAGGTGGAATCATATCATCAGGGTACTCTCGGTCCGCAATCTGGGGCGACTCGGGTTGAATCATATCACCAGGGTACTCTCGGTTCTCAATCTGCCATTGATGTCCTCACTCAGATTACTCACAGCAAAGCCTCTTCGACTGCTCAGGAAACATTTTTGACTGTCAAAAGATTGGCTGGCCCACTCGGCGATGATAGGGCTGACAAAGAAACATCCACTGTAGAATCTCATCCGCTTGGTTCACAATTGTCTCATGATGAGCTTCAGAACCAGGCTTTGGAGCATAACTTAGGAAATATTGATCAATCCAACTTTAAAGTAATAACTTCTGTCATAACAGGAGAAAAAAAAATACTTACAAATTCAAAAAAATAATCCTCAGGAGGCTACTAGACGTAGCCAGGGACTGATTGAGTGGCATCTTGGGTCTAGTGATTCACAGAAACGCCATTCTGCTGATACAACCAGTACTGGCATGTCTGTTGTGTCAGTTGACAGGGTTGATACAGCTGGTACAGACAGGGTTGATACTCAGGGCACAGACAGTACTGGCCAATCTGTTGTGTCAGTTGACAGGGTAGATATCCCTGGCACAGACAGGGTTGATACCCAGGGCACATACGAATGGAGAACTGACTGTGTATCTCAGGTTACTCAGACTACTCATCCTGATCCCAACCTCCACAGTGTGGATAACTCAACGACTGTTCAGAATCCTATGTCTGCCAAGGCTTACAAGGAGGTGGAACCCTCTCGGATTGTAGATCTTACGGAGGACCTCCCTAGTTACCTTGCACAGGAGGTGCGCCCACATGAGGCAAGGCCACAGGCAGGAAACGTGGAAAATTCGCTGATTTTGTCCTTGTCTTTGACTGTATCTGTGGACACAGAGATCATTACGAAAAGACAG